CCCGCCCAGCCCAGGAAGCCCCCGTTCTGCTTCTGAAGCCCCCATTGCCCAGAGCTCAGCTCCCCTCGGGCCCCCCAACCCTCACATTCRGCTCTGAGCTCCCCTTGGCCCTCCCCTCGCGGCTCTGCCCCTGCCTCTGGTCACCCTGCCCCCAGGATCCTGTCCCCACTCCTCCCTACCTGGCACCTGATCCCGTCCTTGCTGTCCCAGTCACCTCTGCAGCTCTGCGCCCTCCCCCCGCCCCTGGAAGTGCAGGCTGCTGGTCCCTCTGCCTTGTCCCCGCTGACTCCAGGGCGGCTCCAGGGGCCACAGCACTTCTGTCTTGGGGACCTCACCTCGYGGCCACTCTGCTCTAAACCTCCTGGCTCCTAGCTCCTGGCCTCCAGGCCCAGCCTCTGCTGCTGGCTTGGGGCCTTCCTGCCACTGTGCTGTCACTGTCTCGGCCCCAAACTTTCCAAACTGCTTTTAGTTGCCTCGAAAACCCCCTGTTGCCTGATGTTGTCATCTGCGCCCAAGGGGCCCCCACGTCACCCACCCGGGACTTATTCACAGAAGGAGTGGGGAGAGGGTGGCCAGGGGAAGATGGACACCTGGGGGGTCCAGTCCTGGGGGGAGATGAGGCAGCTCCGCCAAGGAGCCCGAGGAGGGGGAGGAAGCCCGTCCACGCGCCTYGCTCTCCCCACTGCCCGGGAAGCCCAGCTCCAGTTGGAAATCTCGGGGAGTCGGGAGCAGYGTGGTTCCAGTGGGCTGCGCTGGAAGGCGTCCAGGGCCAGAGGAGCTGGCAGCCCGGCTGGTGTGCCAACAGCTGAGTGTCGGGAAATGCCTCGAAGGCCGGTGCCCGCGAGCTCAGGCGCTTCCCAAAATAGCCCAGGGGCAGCTGGCGGTTCTGAAAGTGGGGCTGGCCGCGAGCTGCCGGCAGCCCAGCCCGCAGCCCCGCTCTGGGGACAGATGGCGCTGAGCATTTTCCTTTCTTCTGCCGAGTCGGCTGGTGAGCGGCAGCTCCTCTGGAGAAGGAGCGCCTGCCCCCCCTTGGCAGCGGGCCAAGGCCACCCCGCAGTCCTGCCCCCTCGGCCTTCTTCCCTGGTGAGGCTGGGAGCGGGGGGCGGGGGCTGCAGGCCCCCTCACTCTTGGCCCCGGGCGCAGGTGGCCCAGGGGACTCGGGGCCCCTGGTCATGGGGCCTGGGCTGAGATGGCAGCAGATCCGGAGGGGCCGGCTGGCCGGAAGGCAGACGACAGAAGATCACCATCTGGCCAGCTGGACATGTGCGGCCGGGAAGCCCACGCTGTCGTCCACGTGTTGAGGGGCCCTGATTCCTGGAAGRGGGGCGCGGAGACCCCCAGGAGGCTCTGCCTTCGTCCCAACTGTGGAGCACGGACCACCCGGCAGACCTTCCCCCGCACCTACGTGCCACCAGGGGTGCTGGGCTCCTTGTGCTGTTCAGCAAGGAGTCGGAGGGCAGGCCACCGAGAGGGCAGCAGCAGGTTCACGGCAAAAGCCACCCAGAGCGGCTCCCCTGAGGGGAGGGGCCGGGAGCCGGTGGGTTTGCCTGTCCGYCTCACGGTCTCCGGAAGGCCCCCCTTTCCTCATCTCCTCTCTAGTGTCCATTGGTGCCCCTCTGTCCACCATCTGTCTAGATTTTCTGTTGGATCCCCCACTTAGGGGCACGCGTAGGGACGTGTCTACTCAGGTCCCCGCTTGTGCCCACGAGCACGTTCATCACCCAGGAGGACGGCCGGCCGCATCTGAAGACCCTCGCCCGCTGCTTGGTTCTGGCCCCGCCCCCACCCC